ATTTCACACTCGACATTATTCCCAAGCATACAATAAAAACGAATGAGTGAGACATGCAAAAAAAAGGACAAAAGAAAAACTATAAAAGTACGAAATCGGCATAAAGAGCTAAAATAGCAAAAATCAATATAATAAAAAGGCTTTTTATAAAGAGAAGGTTAAAGCAAGAGACTAAAAAAAAGCTTGTGGCATTCTGCACAAAAAAAAATCCATAAATGAATGAAAGCTTGAAGGAGCAAAAAAAACGGAATAATTTATGCCGCCAAGCCACATGCATGAACTCACCGCAATGAATGAGAAAAAAATGAAATGTTTATTTACATTTTTATCCATTATGCATAATTAAGAAGAAGAGTATGACCCTCATCATATGACACAACAATAGATATTCTCCTTATGCTCAGCTTCAACTTGATATTTATATTTTGTGAACAAATCAAACTCACACTCGACACTTTTTTTTTATTTTGGTCTAAACTTTTATCAACATTATCCTTTTGTGCATATTTTTTTTTTTTCGGTATGTTTGTATATTCATGAATGATTGAATTTTCCGAGGGACGGAATCAGTTTTTTTTTCTCCTTGAATTTTTTTATGGTTTTGTCTTAAATTTTTTTTTATTTCTTTATAAACTTGACATTCTGCAGCTTGTTTTTCTGTGTGTGTCTTGATGAATTTTATCTTTCATGACCTTTATCTTTTTTTTGTGTGCCTTTTTATGGAACAAAAAAAATATTCTTTTTTTTATTATATCATAATGTATATTAAAATATGTTTTCACACGAGTGTTTGTGATGTTGTGTGGAGTCGAGCGTATTTTTTTTGGCACAAAAGTGCACGCGATTGCCTTTTATTAACTCGATAAATTTTGCAGTTAAAAGACAAAGCGATTTATTCATGATGAAATCTTTCATCTATGCCAAAAATTAAAGATTTTTTTGAAAAATTCTTTGGATGATCTTAAAATTTATAAAAAAAAGACCTTAATAAAGATAATTTAGAAGAAATTCAATTTAATTGGAAACATTTTATTTTAAACTAAATTCATTAAAATTGGAATTTGTTGGAACTGTCTTAAATTAAGACTTTAGAACCTCTATAAGCTTAATTCAAGCCTTTAAAACCTTCGTATGCTATTAGATAGAGAATTTATATCAAAATATCTATAAGCTTCATACAAATTTGAAAAAACTTCTAGTTAACTTCAAACTTTTGGTTTAAACTGATTTCTTAAATTACTATAAGAATAATCTTATATTAACAGCAAATCAACAGCATTTTGGTATCTATCTGATTCAGCCCTAATACTAGGAAAATTCTAACAAAAAAGCGTTTACTTAAAGTTTAAGATCCTATTTGGCATTTAATGATCTTATTTGTACAATGGACAGGAATTGAAATATTAAAGAAATAACCAGAGGTCGAAGCCGACATGAGTTCGCTCCGGTTCGCTAAAAAACCGATTCAAATTTGAATAGATTTTTTTTCTGCTGCCACTTGTGAAGTACAACATTTTATACAAATTTACCGGTTATCGAATCGGTTTTTAGCGAACCAGAGCGAACTCATGTCGGTTTCGACCTCTGGAAATAACCTTTATCCTCACAAATAATATATATCAGACTCCCAAAGTGAGCCAAATCAGCATTGGTGCTACCTTATCATCACCATGTTAACGACAAAATTTCACAGCAATAAGGATCACTTTGGAAGATTGTTTGGTTGCAATTATTGTGCAATCAGCTTTGTCTTTAATGACAGACGGATTCTTGCTATTTTGATCAGTTGAATATCCTTCGGTATATCGACAAAATGAACCTAGCACCGCAAATCTCTCAAAACTAAGTTGTCATGACTAGAAAAGTGAAAAAGCACCAAAATCTGACTAGATTTTCACTGGGATCGAACCAAGGTCGTTAGGGTTGGTAGGCCAACCCTCTAAGCACTACGCTATTGATGGGGTTTTTGCTGTTTGTGCAACAAACCAATTTGAAAACTTAGTACAAAAGTCAGTAATTTTTAAAATAATGGTTATAAAAAGTTTGAACTTTTCTCAAAGCTAAAAGTTGAAATGTTTCAAAAAAAATACTTTTTAAAAACAATTTGCAATAAGTTTGACTTTTATTTTGAAAGTTAAAGACCACAAGAGCTCTTAAGCTTTGTTCTTGTTCTAAAACCTTGCTTTGATACTGCTATAGTAAAATGGAATCTACTTCCAGTTGTTTCGATCTAGAATCTGAAAGTATTCAAATTGCTAAGACATTCTTTTAGATTTTCATACTTTAAAAAAATATATAAAATGGAAAGATCTAATTTTATGGCAATTTTCATTCAAAACTATCTCATTAGAACTTCAATATTGACTCAAATCTGCTCAAATCAAAATAAACTAAGTAAATAATTCGGGACACTGCAGTATATTTACTTTATATATTTCCCTATCATTTTAGATTAAATATTCCACCAAAAAAAAGCCCGTAAATTTCACTCGTATGAAAACATACACAAAAATCACACAGATAAACATAAAAAAAATTCTCATTTTTACTCGTGCCGCATAAAGTCTCACATTATTTATTTTCTCATACTTTTAAAGCTTTCCACATTCACAAATAAAAAATTTTTTTTCCGCATTTCACTTTTATGCAATAAATATATTTATCTTTTCTCACACAGTTCTGATACTTTATTCTCGTTCCATATGTTTTTATATATTTCATCCACAATCTGTCACTCTGTTTCTTTTATCTTATTTTGCATTTGATTATGCTATAATGTCTATCCGAATTTAAATATATGATACTAAGTTTATTTTTTCAAGGAAGAAAGCTCACGAAAAAAAGTCCTTCTTCCTTAAATGTCTCCAAATGAATGAAATGAAATTCTTTTTCAAAAAAGAATCGACGATGAGAGTTTGGTGAGAGCTTTTCATGATATTTATATAGCATGAGAGAAAATACACGTTTTTCCTTATATCCGTTCTCATTCTAGCATGTTGAATATATGCGAGATTCGCTCATGATTTTTGTGAAAACATTCAAACACATGTTTTTGTATGCACATGCGCTCATTACTTCCTCTCTTATTGACATTTATTTACGGAGAAAATATTGTCGTTGGGCTTACAATGATGTTGTGGACTTTTTGTCATCACATTCGTACATGTCCTTGAGAAAATCATTATTACATGCATGTGTGAAATGTCCTTGAATGTGCACCTATAAAAATGACATAAAAAATGCATGTTGCATGTCATTGACTTACATGATGCTCATTAATTTTTTTTGCTCACTTGAGTTCTTTTAAATGTTCATGCTGCTTTTCATATTTTTTAAGTTTATGGAAATTGAGAATAATGAAAAATGCATTTTATATGCTGACTGGAGAGCTTTCTGTTTGTCATATGAGAAATTTTCTGTGCATAGCTGCATATATTGTGGATTTTTATGAAGGTTACTAAAGTAAAATGTCCTCGAATTTATTGAGAGGAAAAAACAATTTTTTTAATAAACTCAAATTTTTGTTATTCTCACAAATTATACTAGAACTATGTGAGATTATGAGCAGGGTACGGAACTAAAAATTCACATTGTGATCTTAATTTGATCATTTTTGTTCGTTTTGATCAGTTCCACGCTCTTGATTATGAGGATCATCTGGGATTATTTCTAGAGCTTATTAAAAAGCAATCTAGCAAGTCAAAAATTCCAGAGAGAATGTCTATGCTGGAACAGAAACACAAGTTTGCTTCACTGCCCTTGTTTGGAATCCACAAGAGAAAAAAAATTAAGAAGCTCCAAAAGCTACTTGTTTAAAAAGTTTGATGAAAGACCCGAATAGCACAAGTTGGATAATCGTGCCGAAATCTCACGCGAGGACGATGTCATAGCCATTTAGCCCTCAAGTGGTCCTAGCGTAGGATTTCGTTTCGATTATCCGATTTGTGCTATTCAGGAAAGCAAGGTGTGGAAACTATCCTAAATATCTCATTTTTCCCAAATATCTCAAAAATATTCAAAATAATCCCTGAGCCGGTATGCATTAAAATTGAGATATCTGTTGAATCCCAAGATTAAATGTCCAAAACACTAAAGATTCGTTAGGATATCTTTATTATTGTGCATACAGGCTCAGGGATTATTTTGGGATATTTGGGATAGTTTTCACGCCTTGCAGGAGAGTGTCAACATGTGCGGACATACTAATTTTACAAACCAGCAACAGAATCAGATTGAAAGCTCAAGATCCCAAATGAACATGGTTACAATAATTAAGTAATTAAACTAGCAAGCGATTGTCCAAATGAGATAAAGTCGAGTTTTTAAAAGTAATACAAAAGTAATATATTTTTTTAAATTTCGCCTTTTGCCGGGAAAACTGGCACTGAAGCAACTAATACATTGTTTTTGTTGATTTTTGATCTATGAACAATTTACAACAAAATACATTTTTTATGATTTTTCCTAGGAAACAATAGACTTATAGGTCTACTTTGGCTGGCTGGCTGCTACGAGTGCTCGGAACTGGAAGCATTTGGAGATCTCTGGTTTTTTGCATTAGATAGCTACTAATTTATAAATTTGCAGGTTTATGTTGTTCTTAAAAAATCCTTTTTATTTGTTAATTTATTTTACTTTTCTTTCTTTTATCGATGGTATAACTTATTTTTACATAACTTGATTTTGAATTTCCAAAAAACGTTACATATCTTCAAAGTATTAAGTCATTTTTTAACAAATAAATGTTATGATAAGTAACTTTTAAATATTGTTGCTCAAAAAAAATCATTTTTTATCTAGCGAAAATGTGCTTAGTTTGTCCGTTCACATCTATAACGGCAGCTTCTATACTAGTTTTCTAGAATATAACAAATTGAACAACTAGTATAAATTGGCTATGAAACTAGATCGATTCATCTTTTAAAGTTTGAATTTTTGTGACTTTAAATCTAATATTTGGTTCTTGCTGTTTATAATTTCATTTTTCTAAGTGATCAAAGATGAAATTAATTTTAATAACGTTGATTGCACTAAGTGTCTTTACTGCAATTAATGCATCATTCGAAAAGACTATTAAAGAAGGACAACACGATCAAATATCATGTCCTGAGAATCAGCTAATTTATGTGGAATACGGGGAATGGACTTATCAATTGCTATATTGGAAAAACTTAGCAACTCCCAGCTTGTTAAATCTTTTTTATTTTCCTGGAAAACTAGTTGGAATGTGTACATATGATGTGACAGAAGCTGTAAAAGAAATGTGTAATTCAAAAAACGTTTGTCAAATTGATGGAAGTAGAATATCATTAAAAAGTGATAAATGTAATTACTGGATGAAGCTCATTGTGACATATGAGTGCGTGGACTGTTCTCAATATGAGAATAAGAAAAAAACAAGCGATGGACATGAACTTTTAAGATACAAAAGATATTTTGGATCAAAAACTGCGATGTGTACAGCACACTTCTTAGCATTGGCTGGTGTTTTATTAAGGGACAATGGAAATAATCAAAGACTGTGCCCTAACCATGTGTTCGTCGAAAAGCATGTTTGCAGTCATTGTCAAAGCGACAGTGATGTTGAGAATTTTGCAAAGCAAGTTGAACAATTAAGACACGATAATTCTTATCAATTCACCAGAGAAAATTCTGTATTTGTTGGAAATCCGACTTATAGACAACAAGGCGATAAATGCAGATTTATTTCATCATTAAAAAAATATGATTGTAATTTAGTATCAGGAAATTGGAATTGTAGAGAAGAAACTAATAGAGTTCGTGCTAGTCATGATATTAATAATGGACATTATGATCCAAGAAATGACATTTAAAAGTTTCAGTTGAGAAAAGACACCTCATAAATTGTCAAGATCTTCAGCATCCTAGTTTTTGAAATTTATTGAAAAAAATTGGATATAAGATCAATAAAATTAATAAGGAATGTTCCGAATTTTAAATGCTTTTAATTCCCGAAAGCTTCCTGTAAAGAAGACTGAAATCATAAATGTGTCCCTAAATCCCCCTCAATTCCCAATATTCCCACAAAATTTTGTGCTTTTATTGCAAATTACTTCCTCGATCAATGAATTCAAAGCCTCAAATTTATTGAATATGAAATCATTTAATTTCTCTCAAAAACCTAGCCAAAAATTTGCATATCAAAAAGGCCTGCATTGTGCATTGTAATTTCTGCACAGCAGTGCATCATTTATTGCAATTTCATCATTCATCATCATTCACGTCCAATTTGAAACTATAAAAAGATTTTTATTCGCTCAATTTTCGCTTCCAATTCAATTTATTTTGTTCATTTTTGAACTTTCATGACAGGAAGATGCTCATTTTGGCACTTTATTTTTTTATAAACTCTCTTTCCTTCTTTTGTTTGTGGATGCTGAACAAAAAATCACAGAGTAAATTTTAAACTTATTTTGAAATGCCAATGAGTATAAAAGAGACGGTGAAACGTGTTGAGAATGACAATTGCTGCTTTGTGTTTAAAGGAATTTCCTGCATATCTAGCGGATTCTTTCAATAGGGGGTCGTTCATAAATGATGTCTTTCTTTGAGGTTAGAATGGAATTTGATTGATGAGTGGCATCTTGTAAGATATTTTAAGACAGATATAGAGGGGTGGAGGATCAAAAAAATCAAAACTTTTAACAGACGTCATTTATGAACGCCTCTAAGCAGTATAGATGCTATTTATAGACAAAAAAATTGCAAGCATATAAACAGCAGACAAAAATATATTTTCTAAAATTTTCTCGATTGAATAAAGATATTTTCAATCTTATTTACTCACACGTATGCATATGGAGATTATTTCGATGTTGAAAGCTCTGAAAAAAATAATGATTTAGGAACGTGACAAAAAACAGTAAGCAATTTCGAAAAGTCATCGTGCTGTGGGTGATTATTGGGTACTTTTATTGTTTTTGTATTTTATTTTTCTTGTGGTTTTAATCAGACTAGAATAAATTTTGAATATTTCTAAGGGGCCGTTCACTTATTACGTTCGCATTTTAGGGGAGAGGGGGTTAAAAAATTGTAACATATTGTAACAAGGGGAGGGGGGGGTGAAAAAAGTCGTTTTTTTTGCGGAACGTAATAAGTGAACGGCCCCTAAAGACAAAATTTCCAATTTTTATTCAAGGGCTGTTCATAAATGACGTCTAATAGAAAGCTAGATTTTCAGACTCCTTTTCCATCTCTATCACAATGTTTGTATTTAAAAAAATTCTTTGTTTGAACTGTCACAAAATCTATAACAAACCTCTTCCCCTCCCAAACCCTTTCCCCACATAAATCATAGACGACATAATGGGATCGTTTACTTAAGACGTCCGAAGTTAACGGTCATTTTTCAAAATAAAACAATGGATTTCCAGAGATTTCTATTGTTCTTTTCTTGCTGCCCCCCCCCCCCCCTGGATCCCATAAGTGAACGGCCCTTAAGTAAACAGCCCCTAATTGAGTTGAGACTTATTATTCGTTGTCACATAAAAATATTTATAATTCCCAGACCATCCATTCCCCTACCACTGCACTAAGTCCATTAACCAATTTGCCAAGCTATTTCAAAAATTCACCCAAAAAAAATCCTTAAAAGTATCTCGAAAAGCTCTCAAATCAAAAAAATATCTCACAATTCCACCATCCAAGTTAATAAAGAGCACAAACTCATCCATTCGACGAACGAAGAGGAGATGAAGACGATTGGAGAGCATAAAAAGAAGTCGTTAAGTTGTTTTGCGATTTCCCAACCCAAGCATATCTTTTGCACTTTATGGTCATAAGAAATAATCGCGTTAACGTTGCAGATGTGATGAAGTTGAACAAGAAAACATGAAAAAACATTTTCACCTTGGGAGATTTTCATTTTGATGACTTAAAGCGAAGGATAGAAAAAGGAAGTTGCATTGGATTTCTTAAAGGTGGGAAAAGCTATGATGAAGCAATTTCATGTTAAGTTCACACAATTTTGACGCTTTTGTCGCTTGCGTTTTACTGACATTCTGTTTACTTTCCGTATTTTTTATGAGGGTCTGTAAACGGAGATGCTTGAGAATAAAAATTGAAATATAATATTTGACATCCGAAAGCTTACAATAAAGTATTCAGAAAGATGTCAAACATTCTTTTTTCTGTGGTGAAAAATCGTTGGGTTTAGTAATTCACAATCATATTTCTTATGATTTATTGGTTTCGAATGTCACAAGTGGTTGAGGATGTAAATCTGTCAATGAAAAGGAAAATCAATTTCTAACGACAAGAAGAAATCAAATGGGAATTATAAAAAGCTTTAAATTATTTTTTTTTTATTGGATCAGGTTGGGTTTTGGAAAGTTTTGATTGATTTCAGCTTTATTGATGATTTATTTTTGTAGCAGCAAGAAACGTCTGGATGTTGGTCTGGAATTAAGGTAATATTGGTCAGTAATGATATAACTTGTTCTACGTAAATTACTGTGGTGTGTGAGCAAAAGTGGAATCTTGGGAATCGAGCCATATAGTGGCGAATCTGCCAGTGCTAGAGTTAAGCTGCTGTGTCGCGAATGATTAAGGCAACATACCAGATATCTGTTTCACTCTTTTGTGAGGTCGTGAGTTCGATTCCCACCAGAGACTTACTTTCAGCTTAATTAAGCAGAGCTAAGATTTTCTCCACAATGACGAACTATATCAGTTGTTCCAGGATGCTGATATTATTATGGTTCTCCGTGCAAATCGTTTGAGATGGGCTGGGCATGTCTTTAGACGTCCACAAGATGCTCCAGTACTTAGAGTGACTGTTGCAGACTTTATAGATGGCAAGAGATCCAGAAGAAGACCATAGAACACCTAGATTGGATATGTTGATAAGGACGCTAGAGTCTTTAATATTCTGAACTAGCAGAAGGTCTCAAAGGATAGAGCTGTCTTTAGACGATCTCTGAACGCTAGCCAAGGAAGTAAGTAAGTAAAATCTTCTCCATCGTTATTTTTTCTTGATATGACAAGGATTCGCACAATACTTACAACATTACAACTCATTCATCTGTGCAAATTTTGATGGGAAAGTATCGTTTTGTTAAGGAAAATCCAATGTTATGCTTCCATTTGTGATAATGTCGTTTAGCTCTTAAGAATATCGAATTCAAATGTTAACTTATTCGTGATCACCAAGCTTTATATGTTAAAGGTTAGTTAAGCCTTTCTTAATTTTCAAAATCACGAATCCAGGATGGTAGTCTCACAAGCTAAGGGTAGCTAAGAGGGAAGCTAAGAGCTAAGGGTAATATTTATTAGAGAAAAAAATAATCTGAAATAAATCAATTTTTTTAAAAATAGAAAGAATATTTTTGTAATTTTAAAGCTCAATCTTCATTTATTTTAATTTATAAATAGTTAAAACGTGATGCTACAAAATAATAAATGGCAAATTCTTTCGAAAAGAAAAAATTAATTTCAAAAATATGAAGATAAAAATAAAATTAATTAAGCTTAGTCATTTCAATAATTCAGTACGAAAGAAATAATTTCAGTACAGAACAAAATGCCATAAAATGAAACCACGAAATAGCCAAGCGACGAATAAATAATTATGTGGAGTATCAAACGTACCATAATTATACATTAATAATCATAAATATTTGCTTGACTCTTTCCTATGTTGATCATGAATAAATTCAATTTTGAACTAAATAAATTATTTAAAACCTATGCAGTACTTGACTGCTGACATTTTATTGCAATAAAAAATTTATCTAAAAATCATTGAGTATATTTTTTTTTATGCTGTTTACTAATACATTGCTACATCCATATGTACGGTAGTGGTTCTATAAATCATAATCCTTAATCACATGCACATACAAAGCAGAAGGGAAATAGAAAAAGCGGATCTAAAATTCCCATGATTCCATCCAACGTAATCCATACATTGTTGAGTTTTTCTCGGTAGATGCATCGGAAAATCCATACGCAAGCGGATAAAATAATTTAAAACTGTAGAGAATGATGCCGAGAATGGTGCCAAGTGCTATTTGCTTTATCCAACTTGGCATTCGCTCAATGAGATAGTTAAACATTACGCCTGAAATGATTTGAATTTTTTTCTTAAATATTTTCAACATTTTTTTTTTGTTTACTCGCATTGATGAGATAGAGATATACATTTTAATAGAGGGGTATTTGTACAACTCGTTGCTTTTACATTCATCACGATTGAGCTTTTGACTGGATAATGAGGGATTTTATGCAATTTTTTTTTTGATGAATTACTCAAATTAAATTATGTTAATGTGATTTGCATGAGCTTTGAATGATTAAATTAAGTAGTGAAAATGAAGAAACATCGAGACAGCAGTAAAGCAAACGTCTAGATGACAAGCCAACAGAATAAAGTTTATAGCTTCAAATAACGGATGCTAGAACTCAAGTTTCTAAGATTTATGATCTTATGATCCCACCTGTGAGTTATGAGGGTCTTTTTAGACTATTTATAAGGTCAAATGCCATAGAAATTCAAAATCACCAGGCGCGTAGCCAGGAGGGTCTTGTTCCCCTCTTAAGCATTTAAGACCGTGCTCTCGTTGCGGCTCAAAATGTTTAAGCGAGGGACAAGATCCTCCTGGCTATGCGCCTGAGATTCAATAATGACTGTTTTCTATTCCTCTATTACTTTTTTGACTCACATGAAACATGTCAATTGGACCCTACTTCCTACATAAAACCCTATAATATGTTCTTATATGTTCAGTTTTATGGAGTTTTATAGTTAAAAAAATCAAACTCATTAGCTGCAACTGCACCCTATTCAACTTTACTTTCCCAATGCCTCCCAAACTTCCACATCTACAAATGCATAAAAATTCTCCCTCAATTTGCAATTCTTGCTTCCATTCAGCAAAATAAAATTTATTTTTCGCATCATGCTTACAAAAATCATGTTGTAAATTTTCCTTTCTTATGCTTTACAACAATAACGATGATAATAATTCAGTTACATAAAGTTTTATCATTCATGTAATCTTCAATTCACTTGACAACAATTTTCTCATCATGAAACTGAATGTGTAAGCACAAAAAAAAAACTTTTCGTCTCCTACTGCTTGTGAGAAGTGCGAAAGAGATAGAAAAAAAATTATTCATTCAAATTCATAATTGAATTGGAAAGTTTTCTACTATTATTGCAACAGGGAGTTACACATTAATAAGAACAAGTTAATGATTTTATAATGTGATTGGATTACTTATCTGGATGTCTGAGTAAATTTTAGTTTTAAAGTTTTGAAGTAAGGCTTAATGAGATTTGGATCGTTGGGAAACTTTCATTTTGAGGACTAGGTATGGATGTTTGAGCTTGAGCTGAATTTTTGAAGGACAACTCATGAGATGTTTTGAGCAAGTGGAAAGAACTAGTGGGTAAATGTAGGAAAATACATGTAAATGCAGGTAAATGCTTCACAGTTCTTTCCCATTGGTTTTGAGTATTCAGGTGACTTAATGGTTGCAGAGATATATAATCAGCTGAGAAAGGTTGCTTCTTTAATGGGACAATTTAAGGACATAAACTGAGAAAAGCAGTAAGCTTTTATATGCATTGAAAGAGGGGCCAACACTGTTGGCCCAACAGTGGTCTCGGATTAGCACTCTACAAACTTTTAAATGATGCTTTTGCAGGCTTTTTAAGATTTTATATTTCAACATTCTAACTGTAGTAAAAGCTAATCTAAAACTTAATTGAAGATCATTCATATACTTTGTAAATGTAGGTCATTACGAGGACAATGTGTCAAGCATTTTGATGAGGACTTTTTGAATGATGAAGGTATAAATAAGCAGCATTATCAGGACATTATTGGCTTTATTAAGGACATTAGAATTCTAGCATAAGGGACTTGGTATGGTACAACAGACCATCGATTGCAGTGCTGTGTTTTTTCTATAAGCAGAACCATACATTATATTCTATTCTAATTGAAGATGTCGCTCACATAAGATGCACAAAAGGAATTGAGAAAAGGATGCTTAATTCAAGGCCATAGAACTCCCAAAATAGTATACCCGTGAGTGAGCATTGTGCAGTAACGTATACAAACTATTGCGCAAAATTAAGTTAACATGAGCAAAGTATAGTTAAATATTGTAAAGTGAAGCAAAGTTAACCAAAGCATAGTAGAATGTAGCAAAGTGTAGCAAAAGTGTAGCAAGTGTAGTTTAAGTGTAGTAAAGTGTTGTAAAAGTATAGTCAGTATAGTGAGAGTATAGCAAGTGTAGTAAAAGTATAGAAAGTGCAGCAACATAAAACTGTTTAAAACTTTAAAAACCAAAATGTTTAAAGTTGATTTTGAATTAATTTTGAAGTAATGTTTATTTTACCATTCAATTTATTTATAAATAGTCAATATTATCGCAACTTAAGAACCGCTTATTATTTGAAATTTTATATATAAAATATATTTAAAATGTAAATATAAATGAAGCTTTTCTCATGTAAAAAATAAAACTATTGAACTAAATTCAAATATTTCAACATTAAGGATGCCTTCCTAATTACGAAGAATAGTAACGAAAGAATAGTGAGAATCAATGTTTTTGATATTGTTGGTTTTAGAAAAAATTAAATGTTATCAACACTTTTGATATATATTTTTAAAAAGTTTTTTTTGGAAAGTTAATCTTGTTGAAATAAAAAGCCAACATATTATTACAAAATAAATTTAAAATATTGTTTTTCTACAGTCCCTTCATTCAATTTCGAAATGCAAATAAATTGAAACTAATTTATATGAAGCTTGTATTTATAGCTTTTTTTAAAAATTTAAACTTAACACAAATCGTCCTCATTAGTTTTTTTAATATAAGCTTACGTGAAAAAATCAAATTCGAGTCAATTCGAATTAAAATTTTTCATAATTTTTTAAAAATTTTTTCAATTAAAATTACTCATTTTTAAAAACAAAAGCACAACATTTTAGATTTTTTTTTAAATTTTTCGATTTTTCTATACTATACTTTTATTTTATTTTTGACAAATTTCCTTACAAACTAAAGGTATCAATTAGAAATTTCTTTGACATGAATGAAACTATTTCTGCCTTAGTAGCATTAGTGCTTTATGTTTTTGTAAGCTCTTTCTTTTCCATCAGCTAAATATGGTTTAAAATGATAGAATAATAAAAAAATAAAAAAATAATATTTTAAATTCTATAACCTTTAGTTAAGTTTTTAAACATTTTCTTTTAAATTTTTATAATGATTGCAAAATCTTTTATTTTATTTTTTGTTTTTTGAAAGTATGATTACAACGTATTAATGGACCACATGTTTAAGAGGCCTATAACTACATATTTAGATTGAAATTATGCACTAATTAATTTGATTAAAAATAAAGTACAGAAAAGTACGAGTAAAGTGCACTAAAGTGTAGTAAAGGGTAGTAAAGTTAAGCAAAATGTACTTAAGTATACTAAAGTAAAGTAAAGTAAAGTAAAGTGTAGTAAAGTATAGGTTAATGTACTTAAGTAAAGTAAAGAGTAGTAAAAAAGAGTTAAGTGCAGTAAAGTTTAGTAATTGCAGTGATTGTGATACATTGTATAGTAAGTGTACTGAAACATAAGTAAAAATTTATAAAGTTGAGTAAAAAAGTAGTGATTGTAGACATAGTGCAAGGAGTTCTATGGCCTTGGCTTAATTGCACAAAGACGAGAAGTTGAGGCCAGTTTTTGGAATTTTCATGGAACGCTAATCTAGCAATGAAGTTCGATGTTTAAGAGTAGGGAACGATATTAAAAGTTTATCTGATAGTAAGTTAAGGTGCCCCAGGTAGTAGCGAATTCGAATCCAACCCACCTCTAAGTCAGATTATTCAACATCATTCCACAAAGTCCCTTACAGGTTTAACATAGAAAAATATCCAAAAAAAGCACCAATCACACTCAAAGTAAAAGCACAAATATTTATTTCATAAAATTAATTAAATTTTGATCAGTACAGCAAAATCACAACATCCCAAATCCTCGCTTTTTTTATTTTTGAAGAATTCATCTCAAAAAAATATAGAAATAAAATTTAATCCTACCTTTTTATTTGCAGAGTTTTGCAGTATTTATTCAGTAAAAAATACACATGCAAATAAAAAGTAATGAAAATGGAAATGTTCTGTGTAGATTTTTTTTTTGCTGTGATTCTATTAGCGCATTGAGTTGTTGAGTTTTATTTTATTCAACGTTACATTCAGAAACGGATTCGATATTGAATTATTGTGTATTTGCATAGTTTTTTTTTGTGCTGCTGCTGTTTGTTTACTCATGCAATTTAAATTGAAACTTGATATCAGAAGAGGTAAAAGGAACTAAGTGTAACTCTAAAAGGATTTATTTGTACGCAAATATAGCACAAAATTTCGTTGAATTGCTATGCAAATAATAAAATTGTTTAAAAAAAAGTCACATATCAAAAATTTACCTGTTAACATTGAGTTGAAAATAATAGCAGGGAAGTAATGATGAAAATATAGCACACGTCCCATGGCCCAGAAAGGTAAATAATGTAAAATCCATCCGGCAAACAGCCAAACGCCAGCTTGTAATGAACGCCATTTATTTTCTAAATTTCAAAAATGTGAAAAAATAACGCATTTGAAATTGTGAAAAATTCAGGGGGATAACAACATGATGGGAAAAAGTTTCGTTTTTCAAATTTTTCATCAACTTCGAAATTTTGGGTCAAAAAATTTCAAAAATATTTTCCTTTCCCAACCATGCTGTTATCCCCTTAAAGGAATATGAAGTAGCTTCAAAAGCTTTTTTGTTTCATAGAAAATGTAATACATTGTCAGCATCACATCATTCAAAAGCATATAAAAAACCAAATTTTGTTATGCTCAAGTTGGAATATTCTCGTCAAAACTCAAACAAATATTGTATAGACGTGATGCTGCTGCTGCATGTATATTTAATTAGAATAAAACTATTATTTTTACCTCCAACTTCAGATTTTTCATTTGCATCGTATCCACGTTGGTGTTTTATAGCAGCTATGATGAGTGTTAATAAAAATAGTCCAAGAAAAGCGAGGTTACTCCACCATATAATTGGATTTCCTAGCAAGTAGATGCGGTAATTTCCTCCGCTGAAATATTGACCCTGGAATGAGAGATTTTAGTGTGATTAGGGATGCTTTATTATAGATATAGGTCATTCATAAATGATGTGATAGAAGATGTTACAGAATATGAAGTCCAGGACGGGATGTTAATCTTATTGATTCACTACTGCTATAGTAGAGGCAAGTTACACATTACAACTTTACTAGATATCCTTCTGTTTCGTATCAATGGTTTATCTTTGGCATGCGATTACCTCTGAATTCAACAAACTCAGCAATGCTGAATTCAGCAAGTTCATCACTGCTAAATTCAACAAGTTCATCACTGCTGAATTCAGCAAGTTCAGCATTGTTGAATTCAAAAAATTCAGCACTGCTGCATTCAACAAATTCAACACTGCTGAATTCAACAAAATCAGCACTGCTGAATTCAACAAGTTCAGCACTGCTGAATTCAGCAAGTTCAGCGCCGCTGGATTCAACAGGTTCAGAACTGCAGAATACAATGCAAATTTATCATCGTAAAGTGCTGAACTTGCTGAATTCAAGAAACCAACACCTGTGAATGAAGCAATGGTGTGTTCTCGTCAAATTATTATCTAAAACCTGCTTCATAGACGCTTATCTTTAAACTTCCATATCCATTGTCAACTCCAAGATATTACTTTTAAAACAACTACATCTAAGAACAACTATTCATTTAAATATAGATTTTCTAACAACACGAACTCTCATTCAATAGCAACATGAAATCTAATCAAGCATCACTAAATTATCTCCACAATCTTCACTACTTTTCAACTTCAATTCCTCTTCTCAACTTGACATATTAATGAGAAACTTGTTGAAATAGCTGGAATGAAAAGTGCCTTTTGTGCATTGCATTTTGTTGCTTCATCTCGTCTAAAATTCCGACACAATGCTCATTAAAAGCAACAGAGCAGGAAAGAAGAGCAAAAAAAAGAATCTAATAAACTTAACGCTTCCTTCGTCTCGCGCTCATCCTTCTTCCTCTTCACTCTCGAATGATTTCAGAACATCTTTTTTTTCATTTTTGCAGCATAACTTTTATTGTTGTCATCATTTCTGTCATAATAATTTCTTCCATCATTGTTTTCCTTTTTATCTATCGTTGCTGTTGTTAGTGCTTTGTGGGGTCGTTCAGAAATGACGTATAACATATGACAAAGTTGGAAGGGCTAGTTTTTGAAGCTAGGTTATTTAAGGGTAGAGGTAGCTTTAAGTATATATCTTTGCGTAGATTCTGATTCCCTGGGACAAGGTTTATATCTAGACATTAACACAAATTGAAAAGACGTCACCTACGAACGACCCCTGTGGAATATTTTGCATAAAATTATTAGTGTAAACAATCGCCCTAAGGATTACAATAGATGAGGAAGTAGTATTGAAAGTCGAGTTCAGTTGAGTGCTGAATTGAATGGGATGCTCTAAGAAAATTCGTAAGGAAGGGAATTTATACTTTGTTGCCATGATTACTTTTCATAACAGCTGTGAATGTGTTTGTATAATTTTTAGTGCAAATAGATGAAAGGCAAACAGAATAGAGCGATGAAGATTATTATTATGAATCTTTCGCTCGTCTGATGCTTTTCATATTCTTTCTTGTTGTTGGATCTTCAATTATATGGATTATTATTTCGTATTGTATGAATACTTAGAAGATTGTAGTGCAAAATGGTGAAATTTAAAAGCTGACATCACTTTGAGAGGTTGTTTCCTTAAGTAAACTAGATTGAGTTTTGTTGAGAATATATTAACGGTCATTTCATATTCAAATTATGTTTGCAACTATAATTAGTTTCTTCCCCTTGCATAGTTGTTAACCCTTTTCATACTAATATTTACCGAGTCTGTTCCTAATTATCGAACAATAAACATCTTGTTATTAATAACTGTTAATTACAAATCCGTGAGGATTCTTTAGTTTAAAATCAAAATACAGATCTCATTCTCGAGTAGATCCGCTTTAATGATGAAAACAAGAAATTGAAGTCGAATTTTCAAATTTAGAATCAAAAAGTTGCTTTCGAGCTCTGAAAAACCTTAAAATCTCAGCAAATTCTCCTCTCCTTTTAAATTTCTTATTCTATTCAACAAATAAGTTTTGTGAAATCTTTTTGATGGATACTTGCCATCATCTGTTTAATCTTTAGTTCAAACGTTTCATTTATGAACTTTAAGTAATTTAAATAATGAATTTGAACTTTGTAAAGATCCAAAAACTTTCTAAAAGTATTAAAAGAAACTTGAAATTATTTCCATCAAAAATTCTGCTTTAATTAACATTAAAAAAAAGTTGCAGCTTCAAGATTCAAGCGAGCGAAAAACTTTTCCTTATTTTTTGCTGCAGTTCAAATTCTATTTGCATTCAGAATGCATAAAAAAAAGCGATCATAAAGCAAAATGGAGCGGAAATAAAACAATTACGAGAGTTTGAAACTCACCTTATAGTTAATTGGCCACTGCCATGGACGACTGGTCACTTCTCCTTCTTTTGGCTTCAAGCCAGCATTGCCTTGCAGCATAACCGCATGCGATTCAAAGAAGCGAGCAAAAAATCCTGGAGCATAAACGTGAAAGCTCACATTTGGCACTGCAATTATAAAGAAACAAATGAGAAAAAATCATCATTTATAATCCTGTACTTTTTTGTGTTTCTTCTTCCTTGTCTGTCCATTTCTTTCTGCCTCAATTTTTCTTTCTCATTCCAAAAAGCAGAACCAGGAAGCGAAAAAGGTAAATGAATAGTTAGATGCTAGATATTAATGGATTTTTCACTTTTAGCCAGAAATACTCCATTTTTTTCGATGTGCTGTGCATTTTGCTTACAAAAAAAGGAAGAAGCAAGCAGAAAAGCGAAAAAAAAAATCCCATTATTTACTCTGACAAGATGTTTCAAATTTTTTTTCTCGCTTTCTGCTTCTTCATTTCTCGCTTGCGATGGCAAGTCTTGCATAGACAAAAAAAAAGAAATGAATGAGGGAAAATAGATTAAAATATTGTGTATGAGAAAGTTTCAAGTTCCTTTCGTACTTCTGTTTTTTTTTTTATTCTCTTGAACTACTGCTCTTTGTCTGCCCTATCATTTTGCTTTCTTTAAAAATGAAAATTTTCTGAGCTGAATTTGAGATGTTAAGGAGGATTTGCTTATGTTTTGTCGAATGATTTGGCTAAATTGATCTCATTTTCAATTTAAGCTAAGGACATGAAACTTATCGAAAATCAGTTGACTAGCGCTGAACGTGTTCATCGACTCCTATTCTTTCTTGTTTGAATTAAGGACCTCAACAGAATGAGGTCTTTTGGCACATAATGCCCGGGTGGACACAGCTAGTTAAAATCCATTAATGGACAAACATTTTCCCAATGAGTGCGGATGAGAACTAATTTTCGATTTCGAAAGATCTAATTTTCGAACGCGGGAAAATAATTTGAATTTGAAATTTCCGTTCCAATTATTTGTTTACATTTTGCATTTAAATTACTTCTTGAAAAATGAATCTCCATGGGAACTTTCAGTAGAAGTTCAATGTTTTTTAATGTGTCTAGAATTCATTTATAGGCTATTAAATTGTCTTATTTCATGTTCTGATCCTTTATTTAATCAACAATTTATTGATACAGTAATTGCCCAAGTTGAAGTAGTTTTTGAACATTGTGAAGAAACGATTGATAAACTATTAAAAGCTTTTGTTAAATTTAAAGCAAAATTACAGTATCAGTGTCGATTAATACATAAAAGAAACAATTTTGCATCAAAAAACAATTGAAATAAATTTGTTTCTTAACTAAGTCGTTAACGTATTTTTATTTTTCAAATTTTCATATTTTCGAATTTTTTCGAATTTTTTTTGAATTTTTTCGAAATTAACCAATTTTTCTTTGTTCGCACTCATGGACATTTACCAGTCTTTTAACTTGCCAAAATTTATAAAACATACAGAACTAGACTTTTACTAGACATATGTGCAATTCCTATGTCCAGTTCAGGCGCGTAGCCAGGGGGACAAATCCCCCTACGTCTTGAGAATTATTTTCATTTTGCTAGAGTTTTTATGAAAAACTTGAAAAAATACCCCCCCCCCCCCCTTAAAAGTTTTCCATACAAAAAAAAATTGTCTCCTCTCTTCAAAATCCTGGCTACGCCCCTGGACTCCAGTTAAATGGAACGTGCAAAATATGTCATTACTCGTCCTTAAGTCTAATTGCAAATTGCTGGAGGCACAGCGATTCAAATAAGAACAAAATCTATTGTTGCACACCCTTTACACCTACAGTTTAAAGTGGAATCTGAACCACTTGCAAACTCTGCACTTTGCGAAGACATGAGAACGTCTTAAGACCTGATGTACCTTGCATTGTACCTAGTCACAATTCGTGTGTGCAAGATGCTGTAATTAAATCATCAAGATGCTCAGTATACCTAGCCAAGAAGACCACATTATGTGCCGAAGGCTAAAAATGTGTGGTACAATAGATTCTGATTAGGCTTTGGGGAACCTGCTAACAGAAAACAGAAAAAAAACTGTTTTTCGACAAAAATCTGTTAACAGAAAACAGGTCTCAAAAACAGATCTGTTTTCTGTTTTTCATTTTTACATAGAATTCCAAATTGAAATGTTCTTAATTTTTTAATATTTTTTGGATGTTTAATAGGTTTAAAATCATTATCAAATTTTTGATTAATCATTATTAATTTTGCAATCGAAGTTTTAAATTTGTTGAACTTTTGGTAGCATTTACTAAAGTTCGAAAATATAATCAACAATTCTACAAGATATTTTTTGATTTAGAAAGATTTGTTTCCTATTAAAATAACGAATTTTAAAATTAGGAAACTTCATTTTTACGAAGCTTAATTTTTCCGAAAAAGTCTTCATGCAATTTCATATGATTTTTAAATTCTAAAAAAACCGTTGAGTCTACTATGCATCAAGTTTCGAATGTTTTCTACAATAAAATTGGTTATTCACATTAAAAACAATTAAATCAGCTTTGTTCTTTAAAATAAGAAGACAAATTAAATGTAAAATATATTTTTAACGAAAATAAAATGCTTAATAAAATCAACGGTTCATTAAAATTTGAAAATCATATGAAATGGCATAAAGAATTTTTGGGAAAAATGATATGTTCGGAAAAATGAAACTTCGTAAAAATGAAGTTTCGAATTTTTGAATTTCGTTATTTTAATAGGAACTCTTTTATAATGTATGCTCAAGTGCTTTTAACCACCAAAAAGTTTCATTATCTCAGAGAAACACTTAGTATAACTCAGTTTATTTTGAATTCTAGAAAAACAGGAAAACAGCTGTTTTTAAAAATTAAAAACCGAAAACAGACTGTTTTTCAAAAACAGCTGTTTTCCACAAACCCTAATTTCTGATTTAATTGAAAATCAGTACCTTCAGCTCAAAAAGGTTGGGAACTTAACATGATTTATCTTTTAAGGACCTTAAAAACTTTATTTTTTTGAAAAAGATTCAAAAAGTATTTTTTAACGAAAAAAAGTCAAAAAACGAAATATTTCCTGAAATTCTTTTCAACTTCTTCCTTAAAAAAAGCTACTGATAGTGATGCTCTATGAATTTTTTAAGAACAGCGAGAAAAAAAAGAGATTTCAAATTCTGACGAATTACATTTTTATCTCGAATGAAAGAAGTTAACTGAGATTTTTCTCTTATTTTAAGCTTTTTATTCGTGAACGTGAATAAATAAGTGAGAAATTTTTGTGTCAGTCGTTGATATTTATTCAAGCAGTTGAATATTTAAAGCATGAGATATAAATTTGTATTGAATGTGAGGTTAAATTGTTTGGAAGTTCCTTGAAGAAGTTTTTTCGAGATTTTTAAATTAAAATTTCTCAAAAGTTGCAAATTACTTCCAATTAAATTTTATTACCTTCAAAACTGCAACATATTTCGTCAATTTCATCCATTAAGGAACTTAAAAAGTTTCTAAAGAGTGAATAATTTTAAACTTAATCCTCGACAAACTTTAACATCACATTTTACTAATAGCACAAGCACTCAACCTAATAAAAATCAAGCTTCCATTGAAACTTTTTAATCCTTTCATCTTGAAAGCATCAAGCGGGATAAATATTATTAAAATCTGCCACAAGCAGAATCATTTTTCACGAAACTTTTTACTCAAGGTGCTTAATTTCATCGAAAGTCAATTCATTTGTGAAATATTTTCAATCTTACACTAAGCTATAAGCTAAATGTTCTTAAATGTGAGAGAAAATATTTATAAAAATTGGATGCAAGAATGGTGTCAAGTGCAGCTGGTTGCATCAGGTGTGGAGAGAAAAAAAATAAAGAAAATTTTCTGACGTTTGGGAAAACTTTTATGTTTGGAGTTTAAAAGCTAAGAAGATATAAAATTTCTTTGAATTGTGCATGCATATTTATAATGAGCCTTAGGGGTGCTGAAAAGTTTCCAGACATAAAGTTATGATAAAGATGAATGTTTGACTGAATTTGATAACATTTTTGAGGACCTCTTGTATTAGGAAGCACAAATTCAACTCTTTATTGTTACGATTAAAAATCAATTTGATTAAGGTTTAAGAGTGCGGAACTGATCATAATGATAAAAAAAAAAATCAAAAAATGATAAAAATTTAATTTATCAGTTCCGCATCCTTGTTAGGGTCTGAATTTTGTGAACCAGGGGCGTAGCCAAGAAGGGGGGGGTCCTTAGGTGACTTAAGTGCCTCCCTTTAGAATGAAATTTCATACAAATTTTTTAGGCACTTCCTTGAAAAATGCTTGCTAAGACGCTGCTGTTGACACCCTGACTATATTAATTGATGATTATGCTATAATCAACCGTAAAGTTAAGTGCATAGATTCATAATTTTTTACCAAGAAATCCATTAATCAGCCAGAGCTTGGACGCATTAAGAGTGTTTTGAAGCTGTGCCTAGACATAGTATCTAGTAAATCCAGCTATTGGCAAGACTTTACGTAATGATTGCAATATTTCTACAAAAAAATTCTTTAATATTCACAAAATTCTCTTTAAAAAGCTCCTCAAAAAAGCTCCATAAATCCATTAAGCTCCAAAAGCATTAAAAAAATTCCTGCTTCATTTTAATTTAATTTTTTTAAAATTTAAATAATGAACATAATCATCATCATCCTTCTATCTTTCTCCCTGCTTCAAAAAAAAAGTTCCATTAAAGTCTAAATCAAATAAAGAAGAAGAGAATTCCTTCTATGCGATAGCACGAGATGCAAGAAAGAAGAAATTAAGCCATTTTAAGCTTACACAAAAAAAAAGACAGCAAGAAAAATTTCCACATCTTAATTATTTCAACTCACATAATTCAAAATAATTATCTTCAACATTCCACAATGCATTCTTGTCTCTCAAGTTGGGATTGCACGAAACTTCTTGTTGCTCAAAGCCCCATTTTGGCAATTGCTTGCCAGACGATGTCACGGCACAATGTTGAAAGTAATGAATGAGCTTAAACTTTGTACTCACTGTCTGTATTGGGTCGTTCTCTCTTCCATTGAGAATGACTACTTTGAAGATGTCATTTGCATCGCCGGTTCCATTCTGGAGATGAAGAAAAAGGAGATGGGATATAATTGTCATTAGTTTGAGTCAATTTTGATCTGATTCAATTTTTTTAGTGTTTATTCATAAGTTTGTAGGAATAATTGGGGAAGGAAGGGGGGGGGGGGTGTTCTCTCGATAAAGTTGCAGTAATTCAACATTATAGCCTTATTACATTAAAGAGAATTACGTCATATAATGATTTGAGTACACGATATGTCGAGTCTCAAACTCATGAGTAAGGAATTGAGGTAAAGCGGGAGTGTGTGTGTGTGGGGGGGTTACTGAAATAAGGTTTGAACCTTAACAAAGCCTAAGTCCACCTAAGCCAGTGGTGGACACAACTTGATGGTAAGTGTGCCTCGTCACATGGGTTGGCCATCACTGCCCTAAGCTATGTATCTGATTGGAGCAACTGAGCTCCTTCGACTCACATCCTCAAAAATCTCCACTCAACTTACCTCACCATATCCAGTCACTTGAAAATGCTTAACAGTTATTGGTGCCTTTTCATTATGAGCATGTAAATTTCTTCTCGTCTGTAAATGTTCGAGTCTCACCAGGTCACCGTGTTTTACCAAAGTGACATTTTTCTCTCCATAGGATTCTTTGTCGTATGGCTTAATTATCCATTTATTGTTATCATCCTTGTGTGTATACGTTGTGACTTGTTGTTGTCTTGCCCCAAATGCTTTTGGATATAAATGGAAATGAGAATGAAGATATCCACCGCCAGTCTTGTGATTTTTTAAAGTAATTACAGCTCCATATGCTACATTTCTTGGCATTGATGCATTATACAATGAATTACCAATTAATCGACTCTGAAATCCAGAACTATAAAATCCATCTCCATTTCCACTTTTATTCAGCACCGACAAATGAATGTAGAAGAATAAGACGTAGAGAAAAATTGGCCATATTATTAATGTCACTGCTCGTGCCATAAATTGCTTAATTGAATAAAAAATTGGCTTCGATAAATCACCGAGAACAATCCACAAATCACTGATTGTTTGTAGACCAACGAGTAGAACGATGAAAAGACCAACAAATTTGACACTTATTGTGCATGCAATCATCGTTCCAGTAAATACTAGCCATTGCCACCATCGAGTTGTGAAACTCCGACCACTTGTTGTGTATTTTGAAACTTTTACCATTCCCATGAGACTCGCTGTCATAAAGCATAAAAGTGGTGGATCTAGGAGAATGTACTGATTGAGTGTTATCATGCCAACGTCTGAAATGAAAATGAAATAAGGTGATTATCGTGTCATAGTGAAGATTTGGAGTAATTATAGTGGAATGAGCAAAAGGGAATTGTTTTTATAGTTTATGGCTGTGGATTATGGATTTGTGACTAGATGCCAATGTTAGCAAAGAGAACAGAGTCCGTTACAAACAAAAAAAATTTAAAAATTTCACGCGGTATTTTTTTAAAATTTCAAAATAAGAAAGTCCGTTACTTTTTATTTTTTTTTAAACGAGCTGTTTTTCAAAGCATAAACATTTAAGGAATGCAATTTCATCACAGTGATTATCTTAATCATAAAAACTAGTAGGAATGTTCACTAAAATTACAAATTACTCGAAAAATAATAATTCACAACGAATTTTTTTTAAAAATAAGAACTTCGAAGATTCGATTTTCGAAAAATAAGAACCTCAAAAATTCGAAGTTCGAATAATAAGAACTCAAAAATTTCTGTTTGCTAGCATTGGACCAGATGCAGGCTTTCATAATCTTTCAGGATAAGATGTGTGTAAGAAAGGGGAGGGGATGGATTCTATTAACAGTCGTGGTTGTTTAAAATATTACTAGTTATTTTGGTGAAGCCCGAAAGACACAATTCGGAATATCGAAAAAAACTCTGGCATTCAGCGGGCATGTTGGGACAAATCCCCCAACGTAAACATAAATTTCTTTAGGGGCCGTTCACTTATTACGTTCGCAATTTAGGGGGGAGGGGGGTTTGAAAAATTGTAACCAAATGTAACATAGGGGGGGGGGGGTGTCAAGAAGTATGTAACGTTCTAATTGTCGTCTGTCTTTTAAAAAAAAGTTCACGAAAAAAACTTGTTTACAAATTCACACCAAAAACATTTTTTTAAATTTTCCACCTTTTTAATGATTTATGAATGTCCAGATCACTTTTGAAACAAATTTTTGCTTTATATCTGAATCCAATAATTCATGAGAATACTAATAGTATCAATCAAAACATGACCTATTTAGCTGTATAGTATTTTGATGTTTAAGAAAAAAAAATACAAAAGAAATTTAACCGTCTTTTTAGAATAAAAAATTATCAAAATAAAATAAATTATGAACGTTCAGGGGGGGGGGGGGGGTTGTGAGTTGTAACATATTGTAACAATGGGGGAGGGGAGGTGAAAAAAGTCGTTTTTTTGCGTAACGTAATAAATGAACGGCCCCTTATTTTACCAGGGTTTTTATGAAAAAATCAGAAAAATACCCCCCCCCCCCCCCCCTTCAAATTTCTGGCTACGTCCCTGTAGGAAATCTACATCAAAGTAGTGATAATAACTTGACAGCATCTTCAGTTTGATAGGATTTTCAGAATATCACTTTACTTACCAAATATCAAATAGACAGCACCAACAAAAGCAGCTAATACAGAACCAGTTAAATCATAAACAGTTTCATAGCTCATCGGAACGATTGCTGCTCCCAAAAATGTGCAGAACTAAAAGAATTTATTAGAAGAAAAAGTGATAAGCTTCAATCCAGTCACTCACAATTCTCATTCCTTCATATTTAGTTCCATTATATTTATCGGAAGGTTTATCGAATGGATATGTTCCGTTATATCCCGTTAACTTTCCAGACAATGCAATCATCATTTTGGCAAGGGGTGGATGAACATCGAAGAAGAATGTCCTGTTGATGTACCAACTTGCCATCTTACCAAAATGTGTCTCGTCCCAGCTGAAAAAATTAAATTTTCATTCAAAATTTTGCAATTTAAAATTTAATTACATTTTTTTACCAAACATGATCAGGCTCTGTGACTTTATAGAATCGTGTGGCTGCTGTGGCTACTACTATGACTATAAAGACAGTTAAATACCAATTCGTGATGCTTTGTGGACTAGTTTTTGGAGCACCTTTAATTGATGGTTCTTTATTCTTAGTCGACGTCATCTTCTTATTCTTGCATTTAAGTCTTTCTTGTCTTTACATAGCTGTGAAAAGATGCAGAAGTGTTTGCGGAAGTGATGTTAAATTTGAGGCTTTGATTTTTCGGGATTTGAAATATTTTTGAGAAGTTTTGTCAATTAAATCATTAAAACCATTGAAAGTTAAGAACATCCAAGCAGGAACTGCAAAAAATCATCGAACATTTACAAAAATAAACATCAAAACATTTTTTCTGCATCTTTACTCTTGAGACATTTAGGGATTACCATTTAACACCTGTTTTACCGACAAATCATCAAAATTTCGAAATTTCTGCATCTTTTCATAACGATTATTCAAAATTCAAAATTGTGTCTAGACTAAGACTTACACGCACACCAATAAAATCATAGTAATCATTTGAATTTGAATAATTTTCTTCAGTTGCTGTGGAAACAGAAGTGAAAAATTTATTTATTTTGATATAATTGTGAATTACTGAGTGGACATTGTGTGTATTTATTAAAGATTGGACATAATTGAAAGATAAATCCATAAAGTTGTGAAAATTGACTAGAATTTTGTGATAATTGATTGAAATCTTGTGAAAATTAACAGAATTCTGAAATTTCAATATAAAACAACTAGTGAATCAATCGGTCGCGTTCTTTAAACGTCTTATCATGTCTCACGTACGAGAAATGTCGAATATGTTAATCGGTTCCGTGCTCAGTTCATTAGGAAACTTAAAACTCTTTGGATTTGAAGAAAAGAAACGTGAATCAATTTTCACGGAACCAGAAGAGGTTGAAACACCGCCCGAGCCAATAACAACAGAGAAATTGAAAGAAGTCAACGCAAAATCAGGAATGATTTACACATGCTTTCCTGAGGCACGCAATAAGCCTGAATTTTATCACTTACCGGACTCTTATTTTACATTATCGCCCAAAGAGAAGCTTGTGCTCGTTTTCGCAGAAAATTTTCGTCGTCAATACAAAGAGTTGTTTCCAAAGCGACGTCCTTTGGTGCTGGCTGTTGAAAATGAATGCCATGTGCAAAAATTTGTCTCAACAACGATTCGTCCAACGACATTCATCGAGTTCCCCGAATTGATTGATAATTGGCAAGCATGTGCAAGCTTTGTCGCTGATCACATTGTTTATGAAGCGCTGGAAGGTTCAACAAATATCGTGAGTACAATTCTAGTAGATTTTTGTTTTCAAATTTTTTTCTTTATTTCTTCTCATTTTTTACTTGGTTTTTTGGTTTTTTTGTTCGTTTGAAAAGGAATTTCATCAAAAATCACATTTAATTACATGTGTTAATGTACTTTTGTGTCTGTGTGTGTATGTGTGTCTTCTTGTGGTTTTCATAAATTGTTCAATCCTCATCCCGAGTAATACAACTTTTTTTGTTTTGTTTTTCTGATTAAAACAATTTCAAATTGGAATGAGAATTTTTTAAATTTTAATTAACATTTTTATTGAATTCTTTTTTCTATGAAAATTGAGCCAATCCTTTCAAAAATGTCATTATCTTAGGGTTTTCTGTGTCTTTAAATCATTCATTGGCAACAAATGCAATTCCATTTTATCTACAAAAACAAAAATTTAAATTTAAACAAAAATTTTTTAAATTTTTAAACTAAAAGTCTTTGGAATTCTCTTTATTACTCCTGAATCAGTGAGGCTGCTATTCTCATTGTCTGGCAGGATTTACAATTTAAATTCGATTAATGTTTAAAAAAAATAATAACTAATTTACTAGGTTTATTTCGATGAAACTTTCTATACATAACTGAGATAAATAAATTTTTGTCTTTGAGCAAATTTTTTTGAATGCGAGAATATTTTTGAGTCTGAATGAATTTTCAGTTTTGGTGTTATTCTGATTGTGCTTGTTCATGTGAAATTTCAACAATTCTTTCAATTTAATGTCTAATATTGTGAAAAGATCTTAGTAGACTTGGTTTATTCTTGAAGTTTAAATAACTAGTCAAGTCCTAGCTCACAACTGTGCTTAGCCAAAATATATTATTTTGATCTCAAGATCTTAGGGTTGTTCTCGGGTGTCTATAGTCGCTTTATCACATTTGATAGCTTTATTCAAACTAATAAATTGCATTTAAGTCAATTCTAATGGTTAAGTTTCTGAAATTTATAACTTTACACTTTTGATTTCAATTCAAAATGGGTAATTCCATGAGTGAAAAAAATTTTGGTGCACCAATTTTTCAAAAATGTTTCCTTAAATAAGAACTTTGCACTCCAAATTGTAACTTTATTATGTTTATTAACACAATATTTATCTCCATATGTGAGAATTTCACATCAGAAATATGTCTACTTTTTGTTTTTTTAACAAAAGTAAAATTAATCGGTCAAGTTTTCGAAAAATCGTTTTCTAAACATTTCCTAATATTTACTTAAATACCCACTTCTATATTCCAAAGTTACTTTTAACATATTAGATATTAGCCAGGCTTTTGTTTTATGCATAATTTGCATTCCTTAATGCTGTAATTAAGAAGAAAAACCAAAAAAACTAGCATTAATCGGTAAATTTTTGACCGATTATTGCAAAACAGAACACTGAAAAAATTTCAAATTCACAAAAACCGTTAGATTTTCTTGATTTTACTTGTAAGTTTATTAGATTTATTAGATTTAATTGAGCAAGTAACTAAAGTTTCAAAACATTAAAGATCATATATATTTGAACCATCTCTCTTTGATGATATTGCGGCTAATTCACTTGTGTAAACAACAATACGTTGAGAAATTATAACGGTTTTGGGAAATTTGAATTTTTAGAAATATTGTATAGTGCTTTTTCACAGTTCCAATTACTCATGGAATTACCCAAATATTAAACCTTCAAAAATTCATTTCAAATGTTTAAATTTCAAAAATAAATGCTGAAAAGTTCAAACTATTGAAATATCTAGAAGGAAAAGCACAGAACTTCTAAGTGTCAAAACAAAATTAACTCCGAATTATGGATCCCAAGTGGGGACTCGCACCCACGTTCTACGATTTCGGGTCGCATGCTGCTACTACTGAGCTATCGGGTAGTGGGCAACTTTATGGATAAATCCCATATTTAAGTTATACAATTTTTTGTTCCCTTTTAATAAAATGATTTATCATTGACTGGCTATTACATGGAATCGCTTATTTCAACAAATATAATTTTAAAGTTCAAACTAGATTTAAATGTTCTTCAATTTAAAAGAATCTCCTTCAACTAGGGCACGCCTCTACTATTTCCAGAGCTCGAAGTCGATCAAATTTTATAAGGATTTCATAAGAATTTTACAAGATCTGCTATTTCCAGTCATTGAAAATTCAAATCGAAAATAACCGTTTAATTTCAACATTTTAAATTCATTCAGACAAACTTCTTCACATTTTAATTCGTGACTTTACTTATAAACCTAGAAAAATACTTTACAAATTAGAAAAATGACAACTCAAAATACATCATTTTAGGTATTTAAGTTACATCTTTTAAACTTTTTTTTTATTGTGGATTTTTTTTTAAATCTTCATGAAAAGAAAAATTCAACTACTTATATGCATAACTCTTCGGTCTCATCATCATATCTCATTTTTATCTAATTGCTATTTTTTTATTTTTTATTTTCTTTTATTTTTTTTAATCTCCAAAATTATTTGCTCACTTCTTTAATAAATTTTTCTTTTAACGGAAGTGATTTTTTTTATTTTTGGAAAAATATGAGAATTTTTTTTTGTATTTTAAAGTTTTTTTATAGAAAAACAAATTATAATCTAGTTCCAAAAAAAATCTTTTTCTTTATGTCAGAATCTCATTTTTAGAATTTTTAAAAACATTAAAAAGGATAATAATAAACTATAGAATTGGAATTTTATCAGTAAAATAATAATTAGGACATAATCTTAGCTGTGATGATTTCAATCTCAAATATAATAAATTGTTTTTTTTCTTTCAATAGAAATATTCATCACCATAATTATAATCCATTTCAGAATCCATAGAATCACTCGACTCATTATTAAATTGTTCATTATCATACACATATTCATCATTATCATATGGATACACGATTGTATATGGCGTGGCAAAGTCCTCCAATTCATCGTGTACCATTTTAATACAACTATTCATTCTCAACGGTTTTCCCTATTTCCTACGTCGATGACGAAACTTTTCACATTCAGCCGATGACGATGCACCGGATGATGAGCCACTGACATTATTTTGTGCACGTTCTACGCTAGCCTTTATGCTATTGAGTAAATATCGGAATTGCATGACTTGCATTGCAGTTAGTGATGGATCACTGTAAGATTCCAGGTACTTGAGGAACTTCTCACCATATTCCAATGCCTCAGTTGGTGACTTTATGTCATCATCACCGCCATTCTTATTGTTGTTATTACTGTCATTATTTACATCACATGATGCCTCATCGCCACTCATTTTGCAATTGTCTGGTGATTGTTGCATTAATGCATCGTCAAGTTGACTCTTTGCCTTTACAATATCAAGATCATGATGATCATCATCGTCAGCCGCTAACTTTTGATGATGTTCATCGCCCGGTATCGGTGAAATATTATTAATACTATCATCATCATGGAAATGATGTCCATTGACATCTTGATGATTTGATAAATCCTCGGGCTTTGGTGTGTCACTCTCACTCTCAGCATTCGTTTGTATATTAAAATTATTATTGATCGTATTGTTATTGATATTACCATTTGGACCAGGCGATGCTGAATTCGATCCTTTTGTCAATTGAGAATAGAGAATATTCTCATATGCCTCTTTGCTTCCACTTGGTGTCATTTTATTCTTATCACCCATTAATGAAGCACCAAATGTCTTATACCATTGCCAAAACCATGCAGAACCGCCTTGTGCATTCTTCATATTCTCATCTGCTGTTTCTAGTGATGGTGATGCTTGTGGTGGAGGTGCTGGTGAGCTTATCTCATGTGTTGGTGTTCCAATTGGATGATGCGGCATTGGAGATGATGTTTTTGGACTAGATGAACGTGGCGGTAATTGTGTTTGATTATAGAGTGAATTTAATCCCATCATAGCTTGTTGTGACTTTAGCCAATACCATAATGCATCATCACTACTCATACCATTATTTGGTGCCATTTCAGGAAGTGATTTCTTGTATTTATCTAACATTTGTCCCCTCATGATGTCATTTGATGATGTCTTTTGTTGTAATTTTGCCAAATTTTTGACTGTAAGTGATGGCTTATCATTATCAGCACCGCTCATTGTCGAACGTGGCGATGGTATGGGACTTGTTGATTTAACATTACGTTGTCCACGCGATGACGATGGTGAGCCATTCATACCCGGCAGTCCTGTTAAACCTGACATTGCAGCCAATGATGGATTTAGTTGTGCCAATAGATTTAAATTTGATGCAATATCATTGAAACTTAATGCTAATGGACTTTGTCCGAGTGCCGACATGCCTGATAAATGTGATAAACTAGTAAGTGGTGATATGGCAGCCATTGATAAGTCAGCTTTGGTTGGATCATTTTGTTTACTTAGATCAGCACCATAGCCTTTTGATGCCTTTGACATTGATTTACTTAATTCAGCTGATTGTTTTGCGAATGCACTAAAATCGGGTGCTTGAAATCCACTCATGTTCATATCATTATGATCTAATGATAAACGCTTGTCATTGCCACCCGATAAATCTAGTCCCAATGATCGTCCATTTTTAAAATGTGATGCATAGTCATCATACTTTAATTTACCATTTGTGTCAAAAAGCGATGCAGGATCGAGTTTCATACGCTTTGAATCGGGTCCATTAAACAGTTCCGACATAGCAGATAAGTTTGGCGATTGATTCAACTTATCGGCATTCTCAAGCGATTGTCTTGACATACAACGGAGCTTCTCTTCGTTCTTACACCATCCGCGAAGTGTTGATTCCGGTACGCCTATATCACGTGCAACTGATGCCTTTGATTCGCCATCATGAATTCTTTGGATGGCCATTATCTTATCGCAGGCTGATAGATGACGTAACGGACGTTTACCTTTTGTGGCTGTTGCCATTTTTAGGTGTCCTGTAAAGACAAGAAAAATAAAATTTTTATTACTCAGACTGTTTTTTTTTATATTCCATGCTTTGGGGTTGATGACTCATGTATTATGTGCAGCATAGACATGTTTATGATAAAGCAAAAATTTTCATTGCCAGACTACATAGAAGAAAGTGAGCCTCAAAAAGCAATTTTTCTTATGTTTATAGCATTCTCAAATACATTCATCTCCAAATAATGGCCATAAATCGTCTGCTTTACTCATTCCTCCCTCAATGTGCCAAAAAAAAATCAGAGAGGAAGAAGAGGATTTTTTTTACGCTGCGTATAATTTTTTTCTTCTCTTTTTCTCGAAAAAGCACGTGCTCGGAAAAAAGTTATGTATTAAAATACCAGATTGTAAACAAACACGTAGCACACGCGTCTGTATTGAAACTTTTTTCTACTCTCTTTCCTCTCACAAATACATCCACAATTCCCTCATGTATCTACATCTATGTGTCACAAAAAAATGTGCATTCCTTTCGCCCTTTTTCGTGAATTTTTTTCTTCTTTGCCTTCCTTCTTCATTCTCGCATTTTTATTTTTCGGTTGTGCTTTTTTTCACATTAACTTTCATTTTTTATTACTACATTTTTTTTCTCTTCTCTTTTTTTTTCTGGCGATGCATTTACTGCTGACTTTTTTTTTTCTTCTCTTCAGCTGCATTGTCGGTGTCTGTCGTAAAAATTATAAACTCCAAACCCATACCACCGACGACTTCTTTTTTTTTTGATGGTGGCTGCTGGTTTTTTTTTTTTTTTGATAAATAAAATTCTGTGTTTTTTTATTGTTTCTCATCCTTCAGACAACCGGCGCGTGATTTTATTGCTGATATTATTATTATTATTACTGCTGTAATTGTTTTGGCATTTTTCTTATATCTTTTTATTATTTCATGCTAATTGAAGAATTTTCTTATGATTAACTGTTGATTGCGCGTTAAGGATGAAAAATGTGATTGATTGGTGCTTTTTGATGGATTTTTAATATTAATAAGGAGATTTTATTTTACTACCTTTCTTATCTTGCTGGTAGTTCTTTAAGTGTCAATGAAAAAACCTCGTTAAAATGGATTTTTATGATTTATGGAAATCGTTTTTAAAGCTCAAACCCAGCTTAGCATTTTGAAAATTTGAATTTTTCACACATTTTTGATTTGATTCGTAAAGCTGGAATCTTTTTGGAATTTTTATCTTGATATTTTTGTAGAAAGTAGGTAGAACAGTCTTAGGTTTTGTGACAATTCAATCAAAATTTGTGATTTGAGGTCTGTAAAATCAGTTTTTGAGTAACATATCCAAATGAAAGTTTAATTTGCAACATTTATCTATTAATTTTAAGACATTCATTGTCCAGGCCTCTTAAAACTCTAACAAATCTATTTAAAACTCCATCAAAATAAAGTTTCAAGTCAATGAATAAAGATTATTAAACTCCAAACTATGATAACTCTAATCCACAAAAATCTAGATCTGAACTTGATATTTCTTGTATTGTTAAGCACAGATAGCGAATCTGTTGCATAGGCCGGGCCGAATAATTCTCCAGAATTATTCTGCAGAATAATTTATTGCATTCTGCAGAATTATTCTGGAGAATTATTTAAAATTCTGCAGAATTAATTCTGCTTAAGAAACATGCGAATCGCAAAAAAAAATCTGGAGAACTCTGTAACACAATTTTGCAGAATTATTCTCCAGAATTCTCCAGAATTTATTTCAAGCAATGTCACGCAACATATATGCAACATTTTTTTCAAACAGAATAATTCTCCAGATTTTTCAAAAATTCTGCTGCAACAAAAACGTCATTAGAATTAAAAAACATATTTCTGCGAAAATATATGAAATATTACTTATTTATTCTCAGTATTAATACTAAACATTTCAGAGTGATATTCTTTTACTTTATTGTTTGATAAAATGCAGGGATCGAAGCCGATTTTTTCGGCTTAACTCAATTTTTGATTTTTTTGATAGAAAAGAGCAATTTAACTACCATTTTAAGTATTTAAAATGAACTTTACATGCTTTACTATGATTCTGTGTAATATTTTGTCAGCATCTAGCTATAGTAAGCTCAGAATTTCAATTTAGCCGATTTTAAGCCGATCGGCTTAAATTTCGGCTTAAAATCGGCTAAATTGAAATTCTGAGCTTACTATAGCTAGATGCTGACAAAATATTACACAAAATCATAGTAAAGCATATAAAGTCCAATATAAATACTTGAAATGTTTGTTAAATAGCTTTTTTCTATCAAAAAAATCAAAAGTTGAGTTAAGCCGAAAAAATCGGCTTCGATCTCTGATAAAATGTATGTGTATTATTTCACTGTTCATTCATATTCCTCGGGTCTTCTTTACTTAGTTGCTCTCAAACAACGTATAAGAAATAATCCTATTCTTCGTAAAGATTTTAAGGATTTTATATTATATTTTGAAAGAAATTGGATGGGACGATACAATAAAGCAGATTGGTGTGTCTCACACTGCAAACGTCGTACAAACAATGACGTCGAAGGTCATAATAATTTCATTAAATTAACAATGCGTCGAAATCCTTCTCCGTGGACCTTCATAGATAGTTTGATCGACTTAGTTTATGATTCTTTGGCAACAGTTGCAGCTAATAAGCGAAGCAGCTCTCAAAATGACAGAAGTAAAATTTCACGGGTTTTACCAAAATATTTAAAAATGATCGAAGAAAATCGATTAACTGAGCTTGAGTTTTTAGAAAAATTAATTGAAATATATTGATCATAGAGTAAAACTTTATAAATAATAGAATTTTTGTTGGTTTTGGTTTTTTTTTTTCTTTAATAAATAATTTCATATATTTTCGCAGAAATATGTTTTTTAATTCTAATGACGTTTTTGTTGCAGCAGAATTTTTGAAAAATCTGGAGAATTATTCTGTTTGAAAAAAATGTTGCATATATGTTGCGTGGCATTGCTTGAAATAAATTCTGGAGAATTCTGGAGAATAATTCTGCAAAATTGTGTTACAGAGTTCTCCAGATTTTTTTTTGCGATTCGCATGTTTCTTAAGCAGAATTAATTCTGCAGAATTTTAAATAATTCTCCAGAATAATTCTGCAGAATGCAATAAATTATTCTGCAGAATAATTCTGGAGAATTATTCGGCCCGGCCTATGCAACACACCCCAGATAGCTATTTGTTGATTAGTAAAGTCTAATGAATTGTTCAATTAGCATTGAAATTTCAAGATTAATCTCTTCAAATCTGTTTCTAAGGCAATTCTTATCAATTATCAATTAAAATCATTTGGCTAAACAAATTCATGATTCATTCATAATTATTAAAGATTTCTGTTTTGTTAGAGATTTCTGGAGATTTTATTGTGTGAATATTGGAAATAAATAATAAAATTAAATTTTTTCCGGTGATTTTTGGGTTTTTTTCTTATATTTTCATTGAGTTGAAATAATTGATTTTTAAATTGTTTAAGAAAATCTAGAAAATTATTGATTTTACTCCAAGTGGGTTGAATACTTAAAATGAATTTATTGGCTCTTTTTAAAGCTTCATGTAAGTTTGTGGAATGATAATTTAACTGTTGAAGTCTTAAAAGGTTATGTGACGTCTTAAAGAACGAAATAAATCTTTTGTAAGTTTTTAAAACAATTTTTAATATTTTGAATGAATCTTTTAACCATCTCATGGTTGCAAAACTGATCAAAATGATCAAAAACAATTGAAAATGATCGAAAATCATCAAAAATTTTTAAGATTTTTTTTTGATTTTCTCTTGTTTTTAATCTAATCTTATTAATTAGTCTTTAACCTAAAAACATAGTTCAATTCCAATTTCAAACCATTTTGCCACAAAACATTCCTTAAATCATCTTTATCAAATCAGAACAAAATGTATTTAAATTACTTTCAATTAGTCTTTATCATGGGAATACCTAGACACACCGTGTAAAGCCTTTTGAGTCTAGGGATCACTTAAGTTATCGATTGATTAAATTAAATGCTTTTACTTAAAGAAAATTGAAACTCTACACATCTATCAGTAAGAATTTATGTTTGTACGTCGAAACGAATAGATTCATCGCATTTTTTAAGGAAAACATTCAGTACATACGCCATCGGTTGTATTCACACTTGTAAATACACACTGGGAAACGAGAGAGAGAGAGACACGATGGTACAGAAAAAAAATGTTGAAGCAGAGAAAAAAAAATTAAAAAAGTACGATTTTCATTCATAACACGCGAATAATGAAAATGTGGAAAAAAAATCTACACACAAAAAAAAAGCACATTCAACAAGTTGTGAACTTTTTTTTTTCATTTTAAAAGGGGAAGCGTTGATGACTTTGTTATGTAAATATGTGTGTGCGAGAGATCAAAAATTTCAATGCACGGTTTTCACTGCAATTCTACCTAGAAAATCGGTAGCTTCTTTTTTAAGTAAATTTATCGGATGCTTCAAAAATTTCTTGGAATTTTATTTTGACCATGAAGAAAATAGGAATTGAAAAAAAACATGGGTGGGCACTCAACACGAAAGAAAATATAATTCGCTAATTAGCTTAAGAATTTTAATTGCTTTTTAATAGCCGTCGCCACTTGTGCACAGGTAGCAGAATTATTGTTATTATTTTAAGAAGGTCATAAATAAGCAGCATTGGTGACGTTGAAGGCAAAAAAAGAGAAATTTTTTATGAGCTATCGCGATTTTAGATGGGAGTGATAAGGTTCTTGCATGTCAGGTAGGAGTGAATTTTTTTCCTATTATGATGCAAAACTGAACTAGGGAGGTTAAAATATGCAAATTGAGTGAGTAAATGCAGTTAATTATGCTTGATTTACATAAAATGTTAACAAATTGAAATTGGCTGATAGAGTTATTACATTTTCTGTATTTTTGAAGGTTGGCAGATTTGAAATGCGAGCTATTTGGTACCTAAATTTCTATGAATTTTACTTTTAACTTAAAAATCTTTTAATTAAGTTTTTTTTCATGATTTTATTAAATATAAAGTTAAGTTGGTAATTGTAACTTTTGATGTAATCACTTTTTGTGATCTAAATTTAATAATTTCTACTTAAAAACAGTTTTTAAGCAATTCTATGAATTTATAGAAAATTTCTTAGACTTCTATTCTTTTTTTAAAATATTTTTTCCTGCTGTTTGTAAATTTTGTCGTCAAGTAATATTTAAAAGAAATCTTAAGAATTAGACAAATTCAATCATATGAAGTTTTAGGAAATGATTATTAGCAAAATGTCAATCCCTGGGCATGTTAAGTCATTACCACAAACTTTAAGGAAGCTTCACTGATTTTGAAAGCATGTTTTTAAGTATATTTCTGAGTTTTTATTATGAGGCAGTCCAAAAATGGTAGATTTAATTAATTAATAATTAATCCTGAAAGTTTTCCTAAGATCTCATTGGGTAACCGGCCCTTGATCATCTGTTATCAAAAACTGTATGCTTTAATTTAATTATTCTTCTGCGACACAAATTTGACATAATTTTATTTCGCCAATCTAAATTGAGTTTCAACAATGTCTAAAGACTAGCTCCTAACATCCAGTAATATTTATTATAATTACCAAAAACTTATCAAACCTAATCGCTAATTTTCCTTGCATTAGTTTTTACATAAATACATGTTTTACCTAAAACACCTCAAAGGCATTTTTATAAATGCCACCAATTGCTAATTTTTATATTTTATTCTACTATTTTTTAAATATAAAAAATTTTAAAGTGGCACATGCAGCAGGAGATAAGAAGAAATGTTAGAACAACAAGACATAAAGAAGAAAGAATGAAATATAAAAAAAAATTAGGCCATGAGCTGGCGATGAATGTCGATTACAGAAATTGAAAAATTATTGATTTCATGCCTGAAGACTTTTCCTCTTTCCATCTCCATCTCACTCACTCGACTTCTCTATTTTATTATTGACGTTTTTCTTTTGGTTGAGGAGAAAAATTCTTGATTTTTTTTTTTTTTGGAAAGTCTATCATCTTGGCAGATCTATCAAAAACTATTAATTCTCTGTCATGAAACGTTGCCAAGAGTTTCGTTTTTGGCTTCTTAGCGAGATTGTTTTGCTGTTTTTAATTCCTTAATAGTGGAAAAAAAATAGACGGAGAATTGAGACTGAGATTGAGGGAAGAAAAAAATTGTTTTTAGTTCGCGTGTTGGTTTTGAGGAATTGGAATTAGAATTTGATGTGATGGGTTGAGGATATTTTTTTATCGATGGCTAATTTGATCATGAGGGCAATTTTTTGATGTGCATTTTTTCGAAAGAATTTTGCAAATTTTTTTGATTTTTGAAGAACTTTGTTGCAATTTATTTCTTTTGAATATTGAAAATAATCTTCACGATTTTTTGGATTGTAAGAAGTGATTGACCAATAAATATTCATTAATGTCAAGTAGACACAAAAATCAACAGAAAACCTCAACAGAGAGTAATAAGTCTGCGAAAATAAACACAAATACGAAAAGCACATGGAAATATTTTTATACTTTGAGAATTTGTAAGTTTTCATCAGACTTCAGAGATGAAGATGTAATAAAATATTCACATGAGGATTTTTGCCGGCTTTTTTAAGATTTATTATTGAACTGATGCTTTTTGGATATCTCGATTATTTCACAACAAGATAAAAATTTAAAATTCTTCCAAACTTAAAAATAATATTTTTTTAAATTATTTTAAAACAAAATAATAATTTTTTATGTTTTTAATTCCCAAAGAATTCTTAAAAAAATCTTGTCGAAACTTGACCATAAGATAATAAATTCTAGAACATTTTTCTGCATAGAATTTTTGTAAATGTTTAAACTTTTTAACAATTTTATTTTACTTAGTCCCTAAGTAGGTAGATTTTTTTCGTCTATGCTTTGACATTTTCTTCTTAACTATGCATTGTTTATAGAAAGATTGAGGAAGTAGTGAAAAAGATTGATGAGTATTTTCTGTTGAAAAATTTGTTTTTGGACACAAGAAGAGATTTTAAGTTGGTTTTGAGAGAAGTTTTGTCAAAAATCTTTGTGAGATTATTTTAATTTCTAGAATTTTGTGTAAATTTTTGTATTTTTGTATTAGAAATTAAACTTAATTTTTGCATATTTAATTTTCTTGAAGCATTTACATTTGATTTAATTCGAAATGAATTTAAAAGCTTATTGTTAATTAAAATCCTCATTCCTTATTCAGCAATAAATTAATTTTTTCAATCTAAATCATTTAATAGTTTTCTCGAAAATTACAAGTTTTCAAAAATAATTCAGAACTTAAATTCTTTATTTCAATAACTTACTTTTTAAAAATTCTTCAACTGTTTTATAATGTATATAAATTGATAAATCATCTGGTTTTTCTTGAATTTCATCATTTTCTATATGTTCGCGTGAGCAATGAGTTTTTTGATAGTTTTTATGGTGAAATAAACAAACATTTGAATTAAATTGATTTTATGTTCAATTAAATTGAATTTTATTTTATAAAATAATTTAAAAAATATAATTTTTTGTGTCAGAGTTTTTAAAATAAAGATTTTTAACTCAGAAAAATCATAAATCACAATTTTTTCTGCATTTACAAAACTTCTCACATCACATTCTTATCACTTCCGGTCAAAGTGCATTTTTAAAACTTCTGAATCACTACAAGGCACATGTACACAAGTTGGAGAGGGAGCAAAGACACGATCTTTATGACTTTTTGGGAAATTATAGATAATAAAATAATTAATAAAGGTATTTACCGTTCTTCTGCGAAATAAAATTTCGGTAATCGATATGCTGTTGGTAATCCACAATGATGCCGTTTATTTATCCGGTTAATTCACAAAATTACATATGAGAATTAATATTCTTTTTTATGGATATAATTCCTTTTTTTTTGCTCACTTAATCAAAAAATTTATCCTCTTTCTGTTTGTGTTTTAGACGGCTTTTTGCTGTCTTTTTAATCCTTTTTTAACACTTTATTATTTTTTGTGCGAAAACACCTCTTTTTGCTTCACACGATTCAACACGTCTTGTTTATTTTTTTCTCATTCACTTTTTAATCCTTTTTTGTTATTTTAAATTTTTTTGTTTTAAAAAAATGAATTAAAATACAAAAAAAGTCTTTTAACAAAACTTAAAAATGATTTAAATTCTTGAAACAAAAAGTAAGAAATTCTTCACACATTTTTTTATCAATTGAGAGCGATAATAAAACGCGACTATTTCGCTTGACGATTCAACACGGAATGAGACGTGCTGCTTGTGTTGTTGTCGATGCGATTCTTTTTCGCCCTTTTTTTTCTCTGTTCTGTGTGCTTCCTTCTTCTTCTTTCTCCTTTCGCGTTTCTTTCGTGGTCGTTGTATACACTAATACGCTATAAACACATCTACATATGTGAGAGCGGTGAGTGTAGTTGTGTATGTGTGTAATCGGCAATTCAGCGGCAATTGCAATTTTTTTTCCTCTACTTCTTCTTTCTCTTCTTCTTTGTGAATGTTTTGGAGGATTTTTTTTTATTTTTTAATTTTTTTTTGTTTATGTGTATTTTTATCCTCCAACACGTTGGTTTGGTGCAGATTGAAACATCTGTTTTGTATTTTTATGTTGCGATAATGTTTTTTTGGTGCGTTCACGAAATATTTTTTTTGGGGTGCGTAAAAAATTTTTATCACAAATTTTGATAAACAAAAATTAAGAAATATTTTTTTTTCACTTTCTCAAATTTTTTAATTCCTTAATAAACAGAAAAATAATTCGAACTGGACAAACTTTAAATTTGTGTCCTTTCTCGTCGAACGGTTAGCGATTTCTGTATGTGAAAACACATGCAAAAGTACACACGACTCCGTTTTTCCATATATACATGCTCTTATGTTTTTCCTTTTTGGTATGAAACAAGAAAAGGCAGCAGCAAGCAAAAAAGAATCCCAATAGAGTAAAATGTGAGGCGGCAAGAGAAGAGAAGAAGAAATAAGAAACAAACCTTCATCTATCCACCATACTCTGTATGTAATTTTTTTTGTGTTCGTTGTTGTTGCCTCATCTCCCCCTCATCATCATCATCAACAATCCAGCATGAGCGGAGTAGTAGCAACAACAACAAACAAGAGAAAATCTCCTTTTTCTTCTCCTTGTGTACTATTATTATTATTATTGTTAGTGTTGTTCCACTCATTCGCATACACAAACGCGAATGAGTGGCGAAAAATGGACTCGAGACCCGAAGGCGAAAAATAGCAAAATTATTGTGTATGTATATACACATATATGTATATAACTAAGCACATGGTGTGAGGGTTGATGTACGCCGCTATATTTCTTCAGCCTCTTTTTTACTCCTTAATCCACAATTTTTTGAGTTTATTATATAAGGAAAAATCATCATCATCATTGATGAGGCACGGTGTAAATAGTCCTGTGTGTAGTTATTAAATCACAATAGTAAAGCATAAGAAGGAGACGGCGATAAGGAAGTCAAAATTATAAAATCTCAGAAAACGGCATCTTTTCCATTTCCATCATCACACGACGACAAATTCATACACACACATGTGTAGTTTCTATCTATATTTTGTTTGTGAGTGAGTGCCAAATGCCCACTAGCCATCATCTCCGCGATAATAAATTGCTCCTCGCACAAGAAAGGATGGTAAAATCAACTGAAGTGAAGAGAAAATATAAATTTTTTTTTTGTGTGCTGTTAGTCGAGAAGAGGCGCAAAAAGATGATTTTTCCCTTACTCGAGTTGTATGCTCAGGATGGGTGATCAGTTTGGGTTGTGATGTGGACTGAGTTAAATTACTCACTGTTGTATTATTCTCTCTTTCTTGCTCGATAACGAAGAAATTTTACTCAAAACTATATCAAACTGAATGGATGGCTCACTACATACATACAACATAGAAGGAGGAATAAAGGATTGTTTGGTGGGGAGGATGAGTGACCTGCTGATGATGTTGCTTCTGATGTTATAGAGGAAAAAAAAAACATTTTTCTTTCTCTCCATCCAAAAAACTAGTATATTTGTTTGAGGCGATTCTTATGTTACGTATGAAAATTTTGAATGTGGAGAATTCGCTTGGGTGCTACATACGGTGTATGTATGAACTCTAAAATAAGAGGAGTTGGATGAAAAGTAAAGGATATGTCATAATGGAATGAGAACTTCTTCCTGCTTTTCTCATTTTTGCGTTTTAGATATGTGGACCCGAGTGTGAATGGCCTGAGAATGAAAATACGAAATAATAATTTTTCTACTTCTTCTTTCTCGTTATGAACTAAAAACTTTCCTTAGTTGGACCCTTTTTCTGCAGTTCTCACTCGCTCACTCATTTGATATGATGATGATGATAAGACAGAGATGAAAACTATTATATGTATGAATATGTGTACATTATTATTTTCAAATATACATATTTTTCCTCTTTGATATGGGCATAAATGAAAAGGAACAAAAAAAAAATACGAAGAAATGTGCGGCACATGTACAGAACGATTATGGAAATGAACACTATGATAAACTTTTTTGTTTTTGTTGTTTTTTTTTTTGGTATGCAGAAATGAATAAATTCATTTTGACAATTTTTATTATTTTAAAATCTAATCGAAGCCAACGATTGTAAAGGAAAACAGAATCACACCTTATTGAGTTGACCATAGATTTGAAGTTGTTGGTTTTTAGACATTGTTTAAAATGAATATTTTTGGAAGTAAAAAATATTTTATTGTTCATAGCTTTTACATGATTGATATATAGTGAAGTTAATGTGATGTAGATTAGTGTAAAATTAATTTTGTTGTCAAGTGTAACAACTTGTTTTGGTAATTTCTCTAGTGGCATCGCGAACTTAAGTTGTGTTATACTTTAAAAGGATACTTTGTAAGAAAATTGTGATAAGTGCTTTTAAAAAGTGTTAAGGAATTGTTCATTAACGACTCCAATAATAATGGTAACCTCCCCCCTTTGCAAAAAAATTCTTTAAAGTTCAAACATGTCACAAAATTCTAGATATACTCGACTCTAAACATTGAATGCCATAAGGGGTCGTTCAGTTGTAACGTCAAAGGAGGGGGGGGGGGAGGGAAATTCCTGGAATTCCATTGTTGTTTTTTTTAAAAAAATGACCATTAATATCGGAAGTCATAAGTAATCGACTCATAATGGGGTTTTCATTAATGACGTCAATCACAAAGTATTTAATAAATAGTGAAGAGCCTATTGACGACAGAATGAGTCTACAGAACTACGTGATTTATAAAAGTCCCGAAAGTAAGCTACAAAAAAATTCAATTTTAACAATTTTGAAATCATTTTATTAACAAAAAAATTATAATAATAGAAATAGTATTTAAAATGGTATTAAATTCAAACTAGCTTCATTTATTAATTATTAAAAAACATTTAAAGTTCCAAAAAAAGTCCATCTTTAATTATTTTATATCTCTAATCTCTAAATTCACGTCCTCGCCAAAAACGCAAAGCAGCAAAGACACGAGAAAAAAAGTTCTCTAACGTATAAATTCTCATCTCCCTGTTTAATCACACAAATAGTTCGCGTCGCATTTGGCGAGATCTAACGTCTATGGATTATTGATTTTCTCATCCACACACCGTGCTTCTTTCCCATTTTATTTCACCACTTTTCTTCCTTTTTTTTTTGCCATCGTCAATTTTGCTCTCACGAATCCTTTCTTTTTTTATATTCGCGATATTCAACCACCCGCCTTTTAGTGATTTTTTTGCTTCCAACTGTACAATTTTCTCTCGTCGCTTTATATCAAGATTTTCATTTTTCTTTTCTTTTCTTTTAACATTCATCTGACTCGGGGCTCGCGTGTGTTGGTCATCATAGCAATTTTCCTCTTCACGTTTATTTTGTATATACGTAAAACTCCGACTATATGTATGACGATGTGGATGATGAGGAGGATGTGAGTGGTATGAGATCCACATGTGTGTGCTCTATTTTATTCTCCTTCTAAGATATGTTTTTCCGTTTTTCACCATATTCCATATGTACGGGATGCATGTGTATGTGTATTATACAAATCGACCGACCGACCAGTATGTGAAAAGTTTCTCGAAAATGAATTTATGAAGAAAATCGGATTCGGGTCTCCTTTTTATCCTTTTCCTCTGCTGTATGTGCGAATGCCACCCTCAAATTTTCCATTCTCATTACACTTTCCTTTCTTTTAACTCGTACACATTTTCTCTTCATCATTCATCCCACCCTCATACGACTCATACCCCTTTTTAATTTTATTCATACTAATAGGAATGAAAGAAAAGCTTTTTCTCAAACATACTCTTCGCTATCGCCTTGACCTCATCTCACACCCCATCGCTATGTCCACACAACTTTTCCTACTGCTGTAGAGCATTAACACCACCACCTCCACCTTATTTTTTGAGGGAAAAAAAAATAAATAAATTTTTCGTTTCTCTACTTCATCTATGAAAACCGACCGACCCGTCCTGAAACAAAAACTGGACCGCAATTTAAATTTTCGAAAATTTTGCTATCTCGCTCTGGTCAATTTTTGGGAAAATTTTCTTACTCTACTGTATCCTTTTATAACGTCGTACAAGCATTTTATTGTTGGCTATTTCAATGTTTGTTGTTGCTGTTATTAGGAAAAAGTGGGCGGGCGCGAAAGATATTATTTTGGCATTTTATGCTTATGCTTTATAATTAAGCGCAAAATGAAGAAGAAGAAAATATGCAAATTTTTTTGTTGGGATTTTTATGTTTAATTGATTTTTACATTATGGTGTGTTGGGATGAATGATTGTTGGATGGTAAAATTGAAGTGAGTTTTTGAAGAATTCAAGAAATATTCTGAAGAATTTTTAATTTTGTGTATTTTTTCATA